CCAGATTCGGGTAATCCCAAGTCCTCAAGGTCTCGCCGCGCAGAGATAATCCAGCCACTTGTTGGCGATGGTATTAGGAGTTTCACAGCCGCTCGCTCCATTAATCCACCATGGTCAGTGGCTCAGCGCATTGTGCCACTTGCGGTCATGTCCTTGTCCTTGGGGACGGATGTACGTGATTGATAATGTAGCCCGTCTGAATCTCGCGGGGGGGTCAAGGAGATTCTCAGCGCGGGGAGTCCCGGGAGCCTGTGACCTATATTCGGATGGCGGGCATCAGTACCTCATTGCTCGAGGATGGGACCGGTCGGGGAGGCGGGGCCGGCCATCCAGTATCCTCCTCTTTGGGATGGGACCGAAGGGGGGCGGGTGGAGGGGGTTAGTGGTTAGGGGTGGGTGGATGAGGAGGTGGAGGGGGTGGTTGAGTGGGTGGTTGAGTGGGTGGAGGGGGTGCAAGGAGGAAGTGGTTTGGTTGGGATGGGGTACGGGATAGGATAGGACGGGGTTTGTGATGTATGATGTGAATAGCGACAAGGGGGAATCAAGCGCGTCTTGGGGCCTTGCGGCTGGCCAACTTCCATAATGGATTTGATGTCGATGATATATGAGGAGGATAGCCTGGCCTTGTTAGGTGGGCAGAGTATTATCGCAATGTCACAACCTTCATATGGCCCGTTTTGACTAGCGAGGTCTAATGCCTTTCTTCCTACTATCCAAAATACAACACAAACACTAATGATCAACACACACCCTCCAGCCTTGAACTCCAGTCCTTTTACTTTCGTCTCGAATACCTATATATACACCACCACACTCACGCCCCCGCCACCACAGCCAACCCCTCATAAATCTTCCTCCTCACTTCATAAAACGTCCCCATCCCACCCACGCCACCCCTCCCCCCACCCACACCACCACCACCCACCACCAATGGCAACCCCACACTCTCAATCTCAATCCTCCCCGTCGCCGTCTTGCGCACCGCCACCGTGCCATCAATCAGCAGCGTGCCTTCGCCGCGGAACTCGGCCCGGTGTCCGGCCCCCAACATCGCCCGCCGCAGGTCCGCCAGTCGCAGATCGCCCACGTGCAGCGGCTGCGCGGCCGACCGCACGGCAGAGGCCAGGGTGGGTGGGAGGACGTCGAGGGTGGGGAGGGTGGGTTTGTTGTTGTTGGGGCTGGAGTTGGTGGTGGTGAGGGTGCCGTCGGTTGCGGCTGCTGGTGTTTCGGTTGCGGGGGTGCCTTCGAGCTTTTGTCGCTTGTGGGAGGCGGTGTCGTCGTCGTCTGGGTCTGGTTTGCGGTTAGTATTGGAGGAATCTGCGGCGGTGCCTGTGGCCGGGGCCGCGTGGCCGTCGTGGTGCCAGATTGAATGGCAATCTTCCCGCCGGGGAAGGAGCAGGCCGTCACGGTGACGATGCCCAGCCCGCGCACGTTCTGCCACTTAAGGCGCTTGACGAAGGGGTCAGCTAGCTTGACCACCCAGGCGTTGGTATCGACTGAGGCGTTGACGGTGGCGCCCATGGCCGGAGTGAACACGTCGATGGCGCTCTGGGACGACCCCGATGCGAGCTGGGCGCTCAGCAACTTCTTGCAGTCGGCCGCGAGCGCCAGCGTCTCCTCCTCTGCCCCCGCGACGAGGATCAACTTGCGTGGCTGGATCAATGGGATCAGCATGTTCAAGCTGCGCTTGTCGTGGAGGCCGCTGAAGTCGACAAAGGCGATGCGGAGCTGGACCGAGACGGTTTGTGACGTGACCACCAGCTTGGCCGGGCCGATCACGGCTTCCTCCTCGTCTTCCAGCTCGTCGAGCTCGTCGCCGGCATGGCCGTCGGATAACGCAGCAGCCTCTGGCTCGTCAGAAGCAGCGCGCTTGCCTTGGGACCGTTTGTTGGCCCCCGGGGCTCCCTTGGACGCGCCAACGTCGTCAAACTTGCGCTTCTTGCCGAGGCCCTGATCGTGCCGGTTGCCGTCCTGCCTCTCGTCCTGCCCCTCGGCGTCTTCCCGCTCCTCCGCCCGCAGATATTCTTCGGGCCTGATAAGCTCGCCGAACTCGTCGTTGCGTTTCCGCCGCATAACGGTGGGGAACATGCGTTCCCTCCCCTTCTTCCCCCTGACATCAAAATCGTAGACGCCCTTCTTCTTGAACAAGATCGTGATGCCCAAGTCTTCGTCTTTCAGAACCACCTTCTTGCGGCTCGCCTGACCTATTGTTGTGGACACGTTCAAGGCCTTCCCTTGCTGTTCCGTCTCGGACTCCTCAGATTCGGTTGTGGTTTCCGAGGCATCGTCCACAACATCGGCGGCGGATTCTAGGGCAGCCGTGCCGCCGCTCTGCAACGTCGCTTGCAGCTGGCGCTGTGTTGCTAGCCACTGTTGGTAGATATCAAGTTCGCCGCCTTCCAGTGCTTGCCGCGTCGCATGGCCCACTTCGAGGTCGCGCCCACCCCCGTAGACCTGCTCAAAGGTGTCGCCATTGCTCGTTTGCTCCACCGCGACGCCATCCTTTCTCTCCCTCCACCATTCCCATAGTGTCCGAGCGATCGACGGCGTGTTCGGGTTGAGGCTGGGCTTTTCAGTAAGGATGACAAGGTTCCTGGGGTCTCCAGCAATCGCTCGCATGACCTCCTTGGAGAACCCCCACTCCAGGCTCGAGTCGGTAGCGACAATAACCCTGCCTTTTGGCTCCGAGGCATCCGCCGCTTGCTGTAGGACACGCTCAACCTGCGCTTTCCGCTCCAGCAGCCTCAGATACTTGAAATCGAAAGGGCCAGCATCCTTGCCCTTACCGCCACCGCTGCCTCCGTTTCCCCTTTGACCACCAGCCACAGCCTCAAATTCTCTCACGATGCTGTCGTCCATCCATTCCAGCATACTCCTCGCATTCCTCATGGTACTGTTAATGGTGCGGCCAGCCAGGTAAGCCTTTGTCGACTTGAAGACCTCGTTGTCCTTCGCAATCTCGGCCCTCCACGCGTGTTCCAGAAAATACGAGAGCTCGAGCACTCTTGCGCTCGAGTCCACGGGGATCAGCACCGTCCCACCCCTGGCGATGCAGAGTTTGATTGACTCTAGGAGCTGCTCGTCACGCCGGCCACGTGGGAGTGCCGTCTCGGGCGTGCGGCTGCTGCATACCAGCGCCGTTGGTTTCCTCAACTGTTCAATAACCTCGGCCCCTCCTGCGCCTCCGTGACCTCCCCCCAACCAAGCGGCACCGGAGAAGACATTCTCACGGGCCTGGTTCCAGTCGACGGCATAAACGATGGACTCGAGGCCATGTTGTATATGCCAGATCGTTCCTCCAAGTGTGTGGCCCGAGTTGTAGGCGGTGATTGTCAGCCCGTTGAGGGGCGGAGAGAAGGGCGACGGCAGCGGTTGGTGGGGTTGAGAGTACTTGAGAGGCTGGATGAGAGAAAAGTAACGTGCGATCTCCTCTGGGGTTGGCGGTTGCAGGAGGAGTTTATGGTCGGCGGATGACGTCTGCGCATACGAGTATGATGCCTCGGCGAGCGAAGTGGGGGATATCGTTGTCGCGGCCACAGGGGTCGAAGCGTAGAGATCTTGGGTCAGGGTGCGGCCGAGGTCGATGACGGGGCGTGTCGCATAGACTGGGACGCGAGTGAAGAGAGGGAAGTTCTTGCAACAATGGGCGTATGCACCAAGGTGGTCCACAGTCGCGTGAGTGAGTAGTATCAAGGAGAGCGTGGGGATTTGCCTAGACAAGGCAGTCAGCAACCAGTTCTTCTACGTAAGGTACCTTTGTTCCCCCCCCTAACAACATGCGACAACGTACTTTTCCAACTCGCGCAGCTTCTCGACATCAAACGCCTCATCCCAACCGACATCTATCAACACCTTCACACCCCCATCGAGTTCCAGGAGCGATTGCGATGCCGTCGATTCTGACAATGCGCCTTGTAGTGGGCTGAAAGTGAACATGATTGGCTAGGGTAGAGGTATTGTAGGTATTGTCGTTGTGTCGAATCGCTATGGAAACTGAGGCATGGCTTATTATTTATTGGTTTGGGAAATCCAGCAGTCTGAAAAGGCGGTGGTGATGTGATGATGCAAATATGATTAGTTAGTTGGGTGTGGGTGAGTGAGGTGAAGATTGAAGATTCCGGAATCCTGGTCAATGAATGGGACTGGGACCTGCGATTCCAGTTGCTTTGTCGCGTCAGTGGCACGCGACGGGCCGGCAAAGAAGCGCAAAGCCAAGCTCTCAGGCCGTTAAAGGCGGTGACAGACGGCAGAGATCGACCCCCATTGCCCAATCGAGGTACGGAAGCTGCCGATGGCATGGCAGGAACCCTCCATGGACCCCTGCAAATATGCCAAGCGAACCTGAGCCGACAAAAAAAGGACAGCTGTAGCTCCTGTGTTCGACGCCAGAGAGTGGGAGAATGCAACACAGAAGTGGGACAGGTGAATCCACTTTCAACACACCACACATTCAGGGCATCGCTTAGGGGCCACCTTGCGCAAACACTACCTACCTGAATAGATCCTCGTCCGCACCGGATCGGATATTGGGAAGGCAGTGCTTCCGGAATTTCTCTGATTATGAACCAGGTCATTCTCTACGAACAAGGTCCCCGGTGACAATCCCGACGAGGAACAAGGAAGAAGGAAGGAGGAACAAGGAAGGAAAAGGAGCTTGGGTCTACCGATTAAACCACTCGATCGACAACCCGCCAACAAGAAACAGACAGCACCCGCGTATCGGGACTAAACGGGAATCGCCCCCGACAGCACTTCCGCGAATATGGCCGACCACTCCATGTACCACGCCCTCGGCCAGGGCGAGAACCTCGACCCCAACGACCCGAACCGAACGAGCCAACCTGCCCCTCCGCAGTTCCAACCCCCCATCGCCCCGAACCCTTATCAACAAGTCGCTCCCCAGCAGCCCTACTATGGCGCACCGTCACCCGCAGCCGGGCCGATGCCCCCACAGGCACCAGGATACGGCGCACCCGAAGCCGGCGGTTACTTTCAGGAACAGCAACCCCCGGTTGACGACGGGGGGTTGGCGGCGCAGATGGGTGGCATGAACCTCGGCGCCGACGCGGGGGCGGGTACCGTCAGGAAAAAGAAGAAGGACCGCCACGCATACCACACGGTTGACGCACCCGCGGGTTCGTCTCAGCCTTTCAACGGCATGCCCCCGGCAGGCACAGCGGCCACACCATACCTAAACGCCGATCCCTCGGCGGCCGCCTCTCGCTATGGCGGCGGCGGCGGGCTAACCCCCCAAACGAGCCAGTTCCCAGCACCCGTGAGCCCCGGGTTCATGCCCGCGCCCGCTTCCCCTGCCGAGTTTGCCGCCAGGAGTGGTTTCGCCGATGCCGCCGGCCCTGCGCCGACTATGATCTCCAACTCGGGACAGACCAGGGTATCTCCTGATGAGATGCCCAGTGTGCCCGTGTCCCGGGATTCCGTCCAGCAATACTTCTTCAGCAATGTGTACCCGACCTTTGAGCGCCTGGTACCACCACCAGCCACGGTCTCTTTCGTCGCCTTCGACCAAGGAAACGCTTCACCCAAGTTTGCCCGCCTCACCATGACCAACATCCCCGCCACCGCTGAGGGCCTGAAGACCACAGGCCTCCCCCTCGGCCTTGTTCTCCAGCCGATGGCCCCGCTCCAGGCCGGCGAGCTCGAGATTCCCGTTCTAGACTTTGGTGACGTTGGCCCGCCGCGCTGCCACCGCTGCCGCGCCTATGTCAACCCCTTTATGATGTTTCGCTCTGGCGGTAACAAGTTCGTCTGCAACCTGTGCGGCTACGCAAACGACACGCCTTCGGAGTATTTCTGCGCCACCAGCCCCCAGGGCGTCCGCGTTGACCGTGACCAGCGGCCAGAGCTCACTAGGGGGACGGTCGACTTCGTCGTACCGAAGGAGTACTGGACCAGGGAACCCGTCGGCATGCGCTACCTCTTTTTAATCGACGTAACCCAGGAGGCCTTCAACAAGGGATTCCTCGAGGCTTTCTGCGACGGTATTCTGCGCACCCTGTACGGCGCCGAAGAGGGCGAGGAGAGGGAGGAGAACGGGGAAGTCAAGAGGAGGATACCACCAGGCGCCAAGGTCGGCTTCGTGACATACGACAAGGAGGTCCATTTCTACAATGTCAGTTCAACGCTGGAGCAGGCGCAGATGATGATCATGCCCGATATCGAAGATCCCTTCGTGCCGCTCAGCGAGGGTCTGTTTGTGGACCCGTACGAGTCCAAGGCCGTGATCAGCTCGCTGCTGACCCGCCTACCGCAAATGTTCTCAACTATCAAAAACCCAGAGCCGGCGCTCCTGTCGACGCTGAATGCGGCCATCGCGGCGCTGGAAACCACGGGCGGCAAGATCTTTTGTTCGCTCTCTGCGCTGCCTACCTGGGGCCCTGGCCGGCTGTTCATGCGGGACGACGGCAAGCACCCCAGCGGTGAGCCTGATAAGAAGCTTTTCAGCACCGAGCACCCGGCGTGGCGGAGGGCCGCCGAGAAGATGGTTTCCGTCGGTGTCGGCATCGACTTCTTCATGGCTGCCCCGTCGGGCGGCTATCTGGACATTGCTACCATTGGTGGGTGAACTTGGCTATCAACTCTAATCCCTCCATCAACACCGCGCTGACTATTCTCTCAGGCTATGTGTCCGCTACCACTGGCGGCGAGAGCTTCTACTACCCCAACTTCATCGCCCCCAGAGACAACTCCAAGCTGTCGCTGGAAATCAAGCATGCCGTAACACGGGAGACGGGTTTCCAAGCTCTCATGAAGGTCAGATGCTCCAACGGCCTTCAGGTATCGGGCTACCACGGCAACTTCATCCAGCACACTTTCGGCGCCGACCTCGAAATTGGCGTCATTGACGCCGACAAGGCGATGGGCGTGACGTTCACCTACGACGGCAAGCTCGACCCGAAGCTTGACACACACTTCCAAGCCGCCCTCCTCTACACCTCCGCCTCGGGCCAGCGGCGAGTCAGGTGCATCAACGTCATTGCCGGCGTCAGCGAGAGCGCCCGCGAGAGCATCAAGTTCATCGATCAGGACGCCGTCATCACAATCCTGGCCAAAGAGGCCGCCACCAAGCTGGCCACCACCTCCAACGCCCTCAAGGACATCCGCCTAAGCCTCACCGAGAGGAGCATCGACGTGCTATCGAACTACCGCAAGCACTTCCTCGCGCAGGCGCACCCTCCGGGCCAGCTCGTCATGCCCGAACGCCTCAAAGAGTTCGCCATGTACGTGCTCGGGATGATCAAGTGCCGCGCCTTCAAGGGCGGCTCCGAGTCGTCAGACCGCCGCGTGAACGAGATGCGCCTCATCCGCTCCATGGGCCCCCTCGAGCTCAGCCTGTACCTCTACCCGCGCATGATCCCGCTGCACAACTTGCAGCCCGAGGACGGCTTCCCGGACGCCCAGGCCGGCGGCCACCTGCGCATGCCACCCGCGGTGCGCGCCTCCTTCTCGCGCGTCGAGCCCGGCGGCGTGTACCTGGTCGACAACGGCCAGCAGACGCTGCTGTGGATGCACGCGCAGACCTCGCCCAACCTCATCGCGGACCTGTTCGGCGAGGACAAGACCAGCCTGCAGAGCCTCGACGCCTACACGTCGGCCCTGCCGGCCCTGCAGACCCACCTGAACGCCCAGGTGCGCAACATCGTCGAGTTCCTGCGCGCCATGCGCGGTTCCAAGGGCCTGACTATCCAGCTGGCCCGCCAGGGCATCGACGGCGCCGAGTACGAGTTTGCGAGAATGCTGGTCGAGGACCGCAATAACGAGGCCCAGAGCTATGTGGATTGGCTGGTGCATCTGCATAAGGGGGTGCAGTTGGAGGTGAGTCCTCGTTGATTTTTTTGGCGTTCTTAACAACCTTGAGCGGCTACTAACCTGGGATGCAGCTGGCGGGTCAGAGGAAACGGGAGGATTCGGGAGAGGGGTCGGCGCTGTCGAGTTTTACGGGGTTGAGGCCCTCGTATTGGTAGGAGGGGGCGAGCGTACATTTAAGCCAGACTAGATGGTGGTGATACCAAAATACGACGTGACATGATATTACCCTGGGGTTCACGATTGGGCCTGTCATTGCGTCTACATCTGCTGCTAATGGAATGGCCTGCCTACCTTTCCAATGCTGAGCGATGATGTCAACAACACTTGGAGACCTGGTAGTCAGCTTCAACAGCACTCCCAGCAAACGCCGAACACCCATCTTCCCTTCACAAGATTGACGGCGCCGTCCCCCCACTCTCCTTTCCCTTTCTACTAAGGTAGTTACCTCCCTTGTCCACTCACCCCCCAAGTCCTAACTAAGTACCTACCTACCTACGTACCTACCAAGAACACAAACGACCCCCCAGCACCACCCCCACCCGAGATATCCCTCAACAGTCAAGTAAGTCAGCAGCCAGGTCCCAACAACGCCAGCGCCAGCCTCGCCCCCACCCACCTACCCACCCTTCCATCCCAAACCTCGTTCCCCCAACCTTGCAAGCACAGCAGTTCCGTCCGGCCATGCCCATCCCATCCCTTCCCTCGCCATGCCCGCTCCTAGCCGAGCAGCCACCCCCCCCAGCCAGGCAAGGTAAGATAAGGTAAGGCGGCAACCAACTATAACTACCTAGCTACCCGACCCGGCTTCCCCTGAAAGGGGAGAGAGAAGGGCAGCCTCGGCTGTCTCCTCATGATGGCATGATGGCACACCCGAACCGAACCGGACCGGACCGGATCAGACCAACCAACCAACCAACCAACCAATTAACCAATTGCAACCCTCCATTTCAGGCTGACGAGCTGACTGGCTGACGGGCTGACGCGGAAGGGGGCTGCATTCCTTTTCCTTTTTTTTTTTTCGTTTTGTTTTGTTTTTGGGGTTTTTGGTCCTTCCTCGGGAGGCTGACTGACTGGCCGAGGACTTTCGGCCCGGCGTTCTCGGTTCTACGTTTGCTGTCGGTACGGTGTGCCTGTGGTTATCGGGGTTGCCGGGAGGGGAGGTGGTTCTTTTTTTTTTTTTTCTTTTTTTTTGAGAGAGAGAGAGAGAGAGAGTTTGGTTCGTTGGTTTTGAATGGGTGGACGGGTGGGGGTGGTAGGATTAGGGATTGGGGATTGGGGATTGAGGGGTTGCTTGTTTCTCTTCTCTCTCCTATTCCCCCCCTTCTTCTTCTTCCCCCACACCACAACACACCACCTACCCACCCACCCACCTACCTACCCCCGTGATAATTAGTTAATGGTCTGGGTGGGGAGGTGTGATTCCGTGGTTTTTCCGGGGCAGATGATGATGTGTTGCTATTGTGTTGGTCCATTGTTCAAGGGTTGTTGTTGTTGTTGTTGTTGTTGATGATGACGATGTGTGGGTGTGGATGTGGATGTGACGTGGGGATAGACAGATGGAGGGTTTTGCTTCTTCTGACCTTTTGCCCGGTTGTGGGAAAAAATAACTCGATCCGGGGTTTTCGGAAGAGTATGTGAGACCAAGTTGTTAGTTACCTGTCACTTTTGCAGGGAACCCTCCCTGGTGTCCCTTGTCCCGGCCGGCTGTTGGGTGTCGGGTAAGGGTCCTTCTAGGGGTCTAGATGTGTCTTAGTCTGGTTCATGGATGGTTGGGATCCTGGTGATGTGGCGGCCATGAAGTCATGGCCGGAGTAGCATGCCGGACCGTTTCATCTTCTGATTTTCATATGCTTCTTCTTCGACAAAAATGAAGGGGAAAAGGGCGGCGGTGCCAAAGATCCCCATGCCATTCACTCCCTCTTCAGAGACAACCAACCACTCATCTCAACCGCAAGCGGCCCGGAACCCGTAATCGACAATTCTTTGACTCTCCGAACATTCCTTACGGCCCTATGTGCAGTCAGCATCGCCAACCTCTCCGTGACAATGGGTCTGCCCCTGTCTGCATTCCATTGTCAAGAGACCCTGACCCTGTCCTGCCTTGTCCGGTCCTGTGATCGACCCAGCCCCCGTTACACCAGGCTAGGGGCGGCAAGGCTAACGCAGTCACCCAGACACCGGGCGGCTATGCCTGTGTGGGCCGTGTTTGTGGTGTGGCGTACAATCTACGATCTGTCTGACACGATCTCACACACTGCACACACTGCGGTGTGCCTCCGAGGCCTTGTGATGTGTGTTGCCCAACGAGATTTGGTGTCCCACTGAGGGTATCCGCAGCCGCGCTTGTGCGACGGTGACTTCTCGAAAGGCTGCTTCACCGCCCCCATCGTCTCCGCCGGAAGAGGCGGATGGATGGTATGGGTGGTGGGTGTCGACAGTTCGGTAGGAGGCGGTTGCTGTTCTGTTTCGGCGCTGGAGATTTGGGTGTGAACATGCAGGGTCCTTACCTTGCAACGGTTATCTGTCACCTATGGCGGCCGATCGTATCGGCAGATCTGCAGACGTATGTACACAGTAGATGCCCGGGGAGTCCGCGAACATTGGGAGGAGATGTGCAGGATGGGTCCCCAAAACGAGAACGAGTCAGGGGGTGAAAGGTTGAGAATGAATAGGCTCTCCGCACGACAACGTTTCGCACTACTGCATGGCGGTCAGCGAAGGTAGTAGCGTTGTGCAAGAAATCTTGCCCGCTTGCGTGCCTCATCTCGCGCCACCACCGCCGGATCTCGGTCACCCACTGCCTTGGCAACGGATGGGCCCCCCAGTAGGCCAACGGCTCGCCGCTGTGCAGGTGTGACAATAATTCGTGTTTCAATGTTTCAAGATATACCATGCATGCATTCATAACGCCCTGACCGCTTCTTGGTGAGCCATGGAGACTGTCCCCTGTGTGTCTGTCTCTATATGCTTAAAGGTTCTCCGAGGGAAGAAGCCCGGCAGGCAAGCAGCGGGGGAGCCCGGGGGGGGGGGGACGGCTGCCGTGCTGCCAGACGACCGTCTCGGTTCGTCTCCTGATGGAGTGAACTCCGGTCCGAGGACTCGATAAGTGGCGCGGTTGTCAAGGGCATGGAGACCGGTGGGGTTGGAAAAAGCAAAAGGAACTTGCCCGCTCGCCACGTCTGCAGCCACCTCCCAATAAGGCATCACGGTCGCTCCAAATACCTCTCGCGGCTTGGCGGGAACCCGATGGAACTCTGCGCCAAACGCTCCGAGGGAGTGTTCGCCATGGTCCAAGGGTGCAGTTTGGCGTTCTCCTGAGCCAATTATTGACGACACGGCTTCAGCCTCATGCAGACCATCACCCATGAGGAAGCCCCATGTCTGAGACTGATGATGACAGCCAGTCGCCGGATCGTGATAAACCAGGATGCTTGCAGGCCCCCTGGTTGGGTTCCCCAGCCGTTGATCAGTCTCGGCCCGGGGGTTTAGGGCCTCTTTCTCGGCAAGTCGGGGCTGGGGCTCGACCTCCCTGTTGGTGCCAGGACAAGTCAGCTAAGACAAGCGCGCTTGCTGCTTGATGAACATCTCGGGGCCCAAAAAGAAAGAGGAACAATAGTGCATAACAGAGCCAGGCAAACTATACAGTACATTATCCTTATCCTTGTGAGGTAGACTAGGTCGGGGAATCATGGTAGAGCCGGAAACCCCGTGTTTCCGACCAACAAACGGCTATCCGGAATGCTGTCCAAAGATTAAAGTGAGACATGAGGAGGTAACCCAATAAGAAATGCCCAAAAAAGCCAATCCAAATCCCAACTCGGAGCCGCCTCCGTAACGCCCAGAAAGCCCGCCACAGGAAAAAGCCAAATCCCATCAAGCAAGGAGGTTGCTCAGGCCGTATCGCGCGTCTGGCTGCGCAAGAAATCTCTGGATTTCTGTGTTGTCAAACACGCGGGAGAAAATGTCAACGTCGGCAGGCGAGGTCCCGGGCGGTGAGCTCGAGCTCGACGAGCTGCCCTTCGTCTTGGATCGGCTTGAGCCGCTGCCGCCCTTGGCCTTCTTCGCGATATCGTCCAGGATCAGCTGTGTGGTGCTCTGGTTGGGGTCCTCGAACACGAATGCCACGCAGCGGATCCTGCCACGGAGGTCGGGATCGTAGAGGCAAACTTCCCGCCACAGCTCGGCAAGCTCCTGCGGCGGATTTCGGTACCCGTTTCCGAGGCCAAAGTCCCCGATCACCACGGTGCTGTAGTTGTTGTAGGCGCAGATCCGGAGTGCGCCCCGCATCTTCTCTTTGACCATCTCGCGCTCATCGGCAAACGAGTACTTGGTGCCATTCTGCGTCAGCTTGGGCCAGCGTGGCGGTGGTACCGACACGACAGGCAGTGCCCGCCACTGGTCGGTCGGCAGCTTCTCATATTTGTCGTGGGGCCCGCGGAACACAACTGTGCGGCAGGTTAATGGCTGGACTTGGAAGAGAAAGAAAGAAACAGGAGAGGTGATCCAACTGACCAACATGCTGTGATAGGACTCCGGCGCATATCGGGAGGGGGTAGTGGCTGTTAGCCGGAGATCCATCCGCTGGCGTTCCGAGGCAAGCTGCGAGGGTGCTCCGCCGACATAGACGCTCCTCGTAGCCTACCACACCCGTTTCCCAGTCGCCACCAGGACGCTTGTCGTTCGCTGCACAGATGAAAGGTATGGCACACTGTGCCGAGTCCACCCACTCCAATGCGACGTTGACCGGGTCTCCGCTGGAAACGTCTAGGAAGCAGGTTAGAACAAGGCCACTGCTACGTCCTTGAGATGCACACTCACAAAACAGGGGAGGGGAAAGGTCCAGTGGACGCTCGTCAAAGTTGATTTGCAGCAGTGGTTGGTGATAGATGTACGAGCAGGTGGACCAAGTCGCGGCGTACTTTTCCCTGATCGTGGGAATGTAAATCCTCTTTGCCTCCGAAGCAACCTCAGACGGCTTGGGCTTGGACTTGGAGCTTGAAGAAGGCATCGTGCGGTGGTAGATGAGGGAGGTGTAGAACACCCGGCGAGGGGGTTTGACGGGCAGGTAGGTAATAATATGCCTTGGGAGAAGTCAGACCGGTGTGGGGTTGGCTGAGGCTAGGCTGAGATCGGGTTTGTGGATGTTGTTAGCTCTACCAATTCCCGGGAGAGGGTGTTTGGGGGTATGAGTTGCTTTATATCTGCATAAGAGTGGTCGAGGGGGTGGGGTGAGAAAGGAGAGATTCGGGAAACGCCAGAAACGCCAGAAACGCCATTGCTTGCGAGTAGCCGCAGCGGCCAACATGACGACCATGTCGCGTGCTGCGATTCCCATGCAGAGAGATCTCTGTGTAACTACCCGGTCTCAGACATCCAGAGACCTGCAAATGTTGTATTGTTGGTGGGAAGATCAAGGATAAGGTACTTGCCGGCTTCCTCAAACGTGGGGACACCTGGTATTGTTCGTTCAAGGTTTCTGCCCAGCCGGGATGCTCGAGACACGATGGGACCAACGCGATGCAGTTAGTGTGCCTCTAATAACACACCACAAAGTACATACATGAACCAGGAAGGGGTCTTTCCTTGGCTGGGTAGGTAGATGAATATACCACCAGCCAGCCAAGAAAAGAAGAACCTACCCCTGAGATGCCTAGGGACGGGGTTGCAGGTGGGCTTGAGCTTGAGGTGACCTGCCGAGACCCTTGGAATTGCATTACACAGTGGGCGGGTGCTGGAGCTCTTGGGGCTGTTCTGGGGCCGCTCCGGGGCGAGGTGGTCTGGGACTGCTGTGCTGCCGTAGGTGCGCCATCTTGAGTCTGAGTCAATCTGGTATTCCCGCGCCACTCGAACCAGAGACATGGGCCGGGTCCCTGCCGGCCGCCGTTGAATGAAAGTCTTTTTGAACCTGGTGCATGCGTCGAGTCCTGAAGCTTCGGGCAGCTGCTGAAACCAATAATTACTCGGGCTCTGGGCACGGCTTGAACTCCGCACCTAACTATTGCAGGGCGAATCAGAATCCAATGAGGGAGAGACATGCAGTCGAGCCACTCGGCTCAGTCCACCGAGCGGCTACTAACTGTTGGCCGGCGGGTTTTCTGGATCGGCATCCCGGCCGGGAGGAGGAAGAGGGGTGACCCAAACACCCAAGGACCCGAGCTTCAATGCTCGCATCCTCGCATCCTCGCATCCTCGCATCCTCGCCAAAGGAGAAAGGGGTCCGGTGAGCGCGGGCGACGCGCGGGGACAGCTAAAAAGACAAAACCGATACAATGCATGTCTGACCACTTCCCTGCGCAATGACGAGTGCCTGGGTGCCCAAGCATCACCTGAAGCGGGGCAAGGGATCGTCAGTCGAAAGGTCTCGCCGGATGGCGGAAGCCACAGCGACGAAAGCTCAGCTGAGGAGATGCAAACGTGAGGTGCCGAAGGGAAAACTTTGTCAGGCAACCGAAGAAAAAGCAAAAAGAGCCCCTTCCTCCCCGTCATGGACCCGGCAGAGATAGGAAACTAGCGGGAAGGAACTGTCCCCTGCGGGGAAAGCCACATCAAGCAGGGCACCCCAGCTTTACATCTAACGTGCCTGTCTTCCCGTATCAAAAAGTGCCTTCATCCTGTTAAGGTTGTCGTCAGAATTGTGGTGTTGTTGCCAACTGAAAAAACCCAGGTGGGAAGGCGCTAGCTGCCTCTATCGCTCATGCCAAGAAATAGATTGGATGGCACCAAATTTCAGCCAATCACAGTAACGCAAGGTCTGAGAAGGGCAAGTGCAGCAGTGGAGTCTTGGGGTCGAATCGAATGGTTCGAGTGGGTTCGAGGAAGAAAGGTCAGGTAAAAAGAAAAATGACAGGGATCTGGGGCGCGTGCCGTCTCGAATTCAACAGGCCAAGACCCAAAAAACTGCTCGACTTTTTGAAGGCGCATCTCTATCCTACCTAGCACATCCGGTCCGGTTTATCCAAGGTGTGGAAATTCCAGCACGTGTTATTCAGCTCTTACCCAGTCGGTACGGTACATCAACAACAAACTAGGGCCAAAACCTCCAGGCCTCTATCCAGCAATCACCACCGACATCGGAGACCACCGAAACTGAAATTGGCAATTGGCGATTGGCACTTGGGAGCCAAACGCAGGTGACCTTCGAGCTATGCGGCCCGCTCCGGTACTTCGGCCGTCGAGTGTCTCGCGTGTCTTGCGTCCGCGTCGCCTCGCCAGCTTCCACCGATCTGTCTCTCAGCGGGCCAACCGTTCCGTTGCCGAGCTACTACAGTGGAGGCCCGACAAGGCGGAGGATGTGACCGTCAACGGCTTCGTCCGGTCCGTCCGGTCAATGAAAGCTCATCAATTCGTTGCTCTCGGTGATGGCTCTTCGCTGGCTCCTCTACAGGCCCTCGTCCGGGCCGACCGCGCCGAAGAGTAAGAAACAACCTGCTCCCGCCTAATCCCCCATCCTCCTTCCTTCGCCCCCCTTCGACATACAGAAGGATGTCTCGGTTAAGCTGGTTACCTAGTACTGACGCCGTCCCTGCAGCCTGACGGTTGGTGCGGCCGTCCGCCTCACCGGCTCCTGGGTGTCCTCTCCCGGAGCCTCTCAGAGCCATGAGTTGCATGTAAGCAATGTAGAGGTCTTGGGTTCCGTCCGACGCAAAGGTATGCCCTGCCGTGCCCTGCCCTGCCCTTGCCTTGTCCTAGAGGGGCTTCCAAAAGGCATGCACCAGGCAATGTATAATGTTTTCTTAACAAATGGCCCCGCAGACGTTCCCCATTTCAAAAGAAATACCAGACACCTGAGTTATCTCCGTACTATGCCGCACTTGCGGCCGAGAACTTCCAGTCAATACCGTCCTTGCTGAGACTGCGCTCCGAAGCCATCGCATCCTTGACTCAGTTCTTTGCAGGGCGATCCTTCACTCAAACACACCCACCCATCATCACATCGTCGGATTGTGAGGGCGCCGGTGAGGTCTTCACGGTGACGCCGGCCAATGACACGCCTGTCCCGGCTGACAAGGACGCCTCCGAAGACTCTTTTTTCCGCTCCAAAAAGTATCTCACTGTCTCGACCCAGCTCCATCTAGAAGCCCTCGCGCAAGCCGTCGGCAATGTCTGGACCCTCTCGCCCGTTTTCCGCGCCGAGAAGAGCGACACCCTCGAGGCACCTGAGCGAGTTTTACATGCTTGAAGCTGAAATGAGCTTTGTGGATGACCTCACGCCCGTCATGGACCTGGCCGAAGATATGCTACGGTCATTGAGCAACGATTCTCATGGGGTCACCCCACGGTCAGGGGATCTTTCTCTTCAGATCACGCCACAGCGGGCTCCGATCTTGGTGCCGTCCGTGGAAAGTAAGGCAGCCGCTGGGGAGGGGCCTGATGGTCCTGGGGAACTGGGCACGGAAATCACCTAACTCGGGACGCCGTCCCACTGTTACAGCAGAAAGCCGACCTCTTCGAGCACAAGCCGACATGGAGTGCAGGGCTGCAATCCGAACATGAAAAGTACCTTGCTAATTACGTCGGAGGCAGTGAGAAACCCGTCTTCGTTACCAACTACCCCCGAGACATCAAGGCTTTTTACATGCGGGAAACCCAAACGCCTGCCTCTGAGGTACCCGGCCCAACAGTCGATTGTTTTGACTTGCTGGTGCCAGAGTTCTGCGAGATTGCTGGTGGGTCAATGCGCGAGCACCGTTTGAACCCTCTCCTAGACGTCATGAAGCGGCAGGGGATCTTGAAACCACCGTCAGAATGCGCCCCTGGCGAGAGCTCCTGCGGCGGTCTCGACTGGTACGTCGAACCTTCCGTCGGTGGGGATGTTCCACCACACGGCGGGGTTTGGTGTCGGCTTCGACCGGTTGCTCAGCTACCTGGCTGGCGTTCAAACCGTCCGAGACATCGTCTCATTCCCACGCTGGCATGGACGATGCGACTGCTGAGCAGACAGCCACAAGATCTTGGATTATCCTCCCGGTTCTCTCTCGTGTTACCTGACCTGCCCGTGCTCATCGCGATCTATCCGTACCCGGATTCGGGCGCTTTTGTCGTACACTCAACGCACCATATCGTCGTGTTGGGGACCAGAAATCCCGCTCTTCATGCTCCCATGGGAAGATCGGTATGCGGTCTCCCTATTGGAACGGGCGAGAATAATATGCTGCGAAACACATGATGCCACTAGGGCGAGTCGTAGTTGACAGATCGGTCACGGGCCGGCCGTTTAACTTAACCGTGTGCGACCTTGGGTCATATTACGGCCTTAGACCCCTCTCGACGTGCCGAGTTCGGGCGGAGAGCCATGTTTGTTGCATCATATCCCTCGACGGCTGTGTGCATTCCGGGTCCGAGAGATCCCGTTCCAGGGACTCGATGACTTGGAGTACTCTTGTCTACGCTATGACAGTTATTTTTGATACCCAACTCAATCTAACAATTTAACTTGATGCCGACTGATCATGCGGATTCCCGCACACGCGATGGGCTGTCATCAACTTGCATCTACGCAACACCAGGAATCCAGTCAAGCTGACTGAGCCATGTCCCCTCGGACTGAAGACAGTATAACAACTCTAACTTGCTCAGATATACATTACCATCTCTCAAGGGGCCCTTACCGCTGCCTTCAAATATAAACCATGCGGGTTGCCTCCGGCTCAGTGTCATTTAACACACTTTGGACAGGCATGTGTCCGGCGATATCTTTGATGGAAGCAACCCACGAACTTGCTAGGTCGATATGAAGTGACAATTTCTATCAACCTAGGGAGCTCATCCACTAACTACATTAACAACAATATCTAGTGTTTGTCAAGTCGACGGCTGGCTTGATGAAACGTCGATGTAGCGAACAAGATAATCCGAAGTGGTTCTAAGAAGCAGTCTCGTCACACACATTAACCACGATTTCCTTAGTAGCCACAGAACATCACTGATACTTCAACCGTTACCACATGTACCCCTACGCCGGGCCAGTTCAACCAGCTTTAACCCCGATCCGGCGCCAGAAGAATCGTTTTAGCAGAATCAACTGGTCTGTTAAGTAGTTCCCGTAACTACCAAATACTCCTTATCTCCACGGGTTCATATCACAACACATACTAAGAGCATCGCCAGTTACAGTACGTTGTGGCGCACTGAGCCGCCCCGGTATTCACTCTAATGCTTCGCTTGGCCAATGCTTATGCTGAACGCGTAACCGAATGAGGCTTTGTTGCGCTACCGGGCTAGACACGAGAAGCTCTCGATCAGAGAAGTGAGCATTCCCTCCCCTTTACCGGCTTCCAGGATCCGAACTGCCAGCGGCGGACATGGCAACGGGGGGTTTGAGTAGTTCACTACGCTTACCCGTGGCCCTCACCGGCCAGCTTACTCCCTTCAACCCAGATACCAAACACTTTTTTCTCTATCATCGATCTCCAACCTCCTCCGGACCCAGCCTTGCGTCGCGGCTCATCCCCGGAAACGCGGCAACGGAATCAATCACTTGTTATGCACCGTAAGCCTTCTCACCACCGCCTCTCCCGCCCGGGACCTGCAAAGATCGATGACTGCCGTCGAAGCCGCTCCACTCTTCACGCACTCGCCCACCCTCGCTCTGTATAGACATCCGAAAGGTCCGAGGGAGGTGATTACCGTCATCGATTCCGCTGTCACCTTCTCGGTCCGAACCCCTCTGCACTCTGTACATACTGT